CCTTGCAATTGTAGCAGACTTCTGGAATGGTGAGCACCCAATCCAAAGAGTTCATTGTGAAGTGTCATCCAAAAGCCACTCAAAAATACAAATGTCACAAGACAATTGAGTGATAATTCAAAATGGAGGTTTCTTCATCAGAAGTAATTCCAATTGGATTTAGAAGAACTACATTCCCAGAGGGAGACAAAGCAGAGCTGCACCACCATGTCAAAATGACTTCCAAAACTCGCAAACACAATGAGGACACAGCGTGGGTATTCAGTCAGAAAAAAATAAGCTCAAATTTACCATTGAATGCCAACCCCAAAAATAGTCTCAGAAAAGCTCAAAACAAAGTCAAATTACTTTTTTTTAAAAAATTAATTCCATTCAAACCCTGTGATACACTTCATCTCTGATGCAAAAATACATGAAAATTAAACACGAATTATCCACAAAAAAAATCTTCAGTGGCCAGAAAACAAAACCCAAGACTAGATCTTCAGATGAAATATCAATGAAGACTTTTCTGTTCATCCCTGAGGCAAAGTGATAACCACAACTGCAGAACTGGCAAGGTTTCCAGGGACAACGACCCAAGAGGAGCCAGGAATCATTTTATGGCATGAGTTGTGAGATCAGGAACTTACAGAAATTCTCCATTCCTCAACAATGTTAGCTTCCACCACAAAGCATGTCAGTTGGCAGAGAAGGAAACTTCCCCAAAAGAAACAAGGCCATTGATGCTCAGGGCTTTCCCCTCCCTATTTCCTGAACTCTTGTCCTCCCCCAAATCAATCACAATTTAAAAGAAATTTCTTAGAGGCAGAACCAAGATGGTGGAGTGAAAGCAGTGACTTGTATGAGATCTCCCCCAAACCCCTCCAAATACGTATAAAAAAATGCCTCTAAACAAATTCTAGAGCAGCAGAACTCACAATAAGACAGAGCAAAACAAATTTCCATCACAAGACAGCCTGGATGGTTGTTCGGAAAGGTATACAGAGCTGGCCTGGGAGAGGAATGCAGTTCTGCATGGGCACGCAGGCTGCAGAGACCCTGGAGCAGGCCTCAGAGGACTGAATCATGGGCAGCTGTGGCGGTTTCCTGACTTCTCAACTCAGGAATGCCAAAGACAACTTGGAAGGTCAGTGGGAAAAGTCTATGTCAGTGGGGAGAGAGAGAAGTCAGTGGTCTCAGCTCCACTCCCCAAGCTGGGCGGGGGACAGCGGCTGCCTCCTGAGCTTCCAGCCCACAGACTGAGGGGGAATCAAGTGGCTGATCAGAGGGGGATTGCAGGGATCTCTCTGTTGCTGCAGGAATCTCTTGCTTTGCCTGTGCTTGGATCTGGGTCACAGTTCTGGGTGGCAAACCTGGGGTGAGGTGGAGCGCTGGCATGGTAGAACTTGTATTGATGGTGGAGAGGAAATCCTCCTCACAGTTCCAAGTCAGAAAAGAGTGCTTGTGGTCACTCATAGAGCAGAGCACAGGCCAGGAAAGGAGTAAACACCTAGCCCTTGATCATAGCACCTTGGAAGAACTGAAAATTTACAAGTCCCTAGAAGTATCTCTGAAAACAGCTAAACAAAACCCCTGAACCTTGGGACAGTACATTCTCCACACTGGAAACAGACCCCTACCTTAACAAAGAGTTTATAACTCAGGTAATTAGCTGGAATCATGAGCAAGCAGCATAAAAAGAGTCAGACCATAGAATCTTTCTTTGGTTTGGAATCAGGACTACAATGTAGAATCACCTACCCAGCAAAACTGAGTATAATCTTTCAGGGCAAAAAATGGTCATTCAATGAAATAGGGGACTTTCAAGCATTTCTGTGGAAAAGACCAGAGCCAAATATAAAATTTGACTTTCAAATACAAGACTCAAGTGAAACATGGAAGAGGTAAACAGGAAAGAGAAATCTTAAGAGACTTATTAAGGTTGAACTGTTTACATTCCTGTAGGGAAAGATGATATTTGTAACTCATGAGTCCTTTGTCAGTATTAGGGTAGTGGGAGGGAAAAAATTATATATTTGTATAGATAGATAGATAGAGGACACAGGACTGAGTTGAATATGAAGGGGTGATATCTGGAAAATAAAATTAAGGGGTGAGAGAGAATTATACTGGAAGAAGGAGAAAGAGAGAAGTAGAATGAGGTAAATTACCTCACATGAAACAGACAAGAAAAGGCTTTTACAGTGGAGAGGAAATGGGGGAAGGTGAGAGGGAATGAGTGAATCTTAGTCTCAGAAAATTTGGCTTAAGGAAGGAATAACATACACAATGGGGTGTGGAAATCTATCTTACCCTACAGGAAAATAAAGGGGGAAGGGTACAAGAGAACAGGGGGTTGATAGAGAGGAGGAGAGATTGGGGGAGGGGGTAATCAGAAGCAAACACTTCTGAGGAGGGACAGGGTCAAAAGAAAGAATAGAATAAAGGGTGGGTAGGACAGGATGAAGGGAAATGTACTTAGTTTTTCACAACAGGACTACTATGGAAGTGTTTTGCATGACTACACATCTATAACCTGTATTGAGATGCTTGCTTTTTCAATAAGGGTGGGTGGGGAGGGAGGAAGGGAGAAAATTTGTAACCCCAAGTCTTAAAAACACATGTTAAAAATTTTTTTTTTTAATTTTAAAAAAAGAAAAGAAAAGAAAAGAAATGTCTTAGAAAGGCAATCCTACTTTGAGGAAATATGGCAAGGCTCAACTATAAGGAATTGAGGATCCATTTCACACACTGATTCTCTATTGTCAAAGAACTAATTTAGCAGCATAGAAATATGAAGAATGGTGAATTTACACACTGGGAAAGACTACTCAAGCTTTGCTCTAATCTTAGAAAAGGAAATTAACCAAACTTTTATCAAAAGCAGCATAAGAAAGTCTGTCCTTAAGACAAAACAAAAATTAATCCAACTTCCTGTCCTTTTCAGGACAGTTGCAGGAAAATACAAAGTCCAAAATATTTGCTCCTTCCTCCATTTCAAGATAAAATTTAACTCAACTCATAGGAAGTGAAAAACAGCACAGAATCACAATTACAATTCCCTTATAGAATCTGATGGGGAAAATGTGTAATTGCATTTCCCTTATAAGGATTTCTTATCAGAAGTAAGCAATGTGCAAAAACAGTACAGTGTATGAATATATATGTGCTTTGAGTGTATGCACATTATATATATATATATAAATAAATACATATCTGTATATATGCATACACACATATTTCTAAACTAGACATCCTCCAAGAGATGTCAAAAGATAAAAACAAAGAATTGTGAAAAGAACTACAAATTATTCACTGTAACATAGCACAAATGTACCCAATCCTGAATGATAAGAGAAATGCAAATCAAAACAAATGGTAATGGCTTTTTAAAAAAATCAAAGTAACAAACAAAACTAAACTAACAAAAAAAATAAATAAATAAACCAAAGCCCTGAGGTGCCTGAATGTGTTTACTCCTTTGTAAGAGATAA